CTGTAAAGGAAAAGCTCACGAGCTGCGCGGCATGAGGAACACATTACGGCGGGCTGGAGAGGAGACGTCCTCTTCCTTCCGTGCACATCACCCTGCAGGACACGCGCACACGCCAGCACACGCACGTGGCCTGCTCTGCTCTGGCTCACATTTCCCACCACCCCAAAACACAGGACGTAAAATGTTTCCACCAGGGAGCACATGTGTTTTCTGGCTTAAAATTCCTGGGAGTTGCTCCCTGTGGAGAGGTGGAAACCCAGTGTTCACGTGGATGCTGTGGATGGGGACTGAGCGAGGGGTCCCTGCTCTCTGGCAAGGCCTGGGAAAATATGGTGGGGGGTGCCCTTAGTTTTGCTGCTATAAGTTCAGCTCTAGGCAGCATCCAGGGAAGGTGCCACCCGCTGGTGCCAGCTCTGGGCTGACCTGCAGTCATGGCCACCAGGATCCCCAGCTGCCCCATGCCAGCCGCCACCCATGGAGAGTCTGGCAGAGCTCACAGAGCTTGTGGACTGGGCTGTCTGCTGTTGGCTGGCGTGAAGTAAAGACTTTTGCATGCTCTGGAGGTTAGGTGCTGGGTCTGGAGGACCTGAGCCTGGAGGAAGAGGCAGCCTGCTTCTCCTGGGGCCAGGTGGCTCCTTCCCCAGAGCCAGGCTGCCAGCCTCCCTGTCCTTCGTGGGCTCCCAGCCCTCGCTGGGCTCTGACCCTGTGATTCACAGGTCCACCACTCCTCCAGGGAGCCGCTGCCTTTGCTGGACCTGGGGCCAGTCTGGGCAGAGGCACTGGGCAGCTGCAGGCCCAGACGGGTGTTGACAGGAGAGCAGCAGCCGGAGGGGTTGCGCCCACTGGGGCAGAGAAGCTGCCTGAGGAGGACAGGGTGTTACCAGGCTCACAGCGCCCCCTAGCACTGGCCAGTAGGATAAGGCTGGGGAGCCCGGGGCAGGAGCTTCCACGGCCCAACTGGACAGCCTGCTGGGCTTGAGACCCTGTGGCCACACTTAACTCCTGTGCTCAGTTACTGTCCACAAGGCCTCACAGCCCAGGGAGAGAAGCAGGCCGGCCAGCATCCACCCCAGAGTCCTGTCAGGGCTGTACGAGGCAGCGCGAGTGCTGCAGATACATGGGAAGGGCGTCAGAGGAGGCTTCCCGGAGGAGTAACCTCTGAGATGAGCTCTGTAGGATGGTCCCAGCCGGGAGAGTTGTGCAGCCAGCAGCCATGTTCCTGGCTCCTGCCACACCTTGCCCGGTGGCCCACAGACAGGAGCAGCAAGTGACCCAGCTCTGAGGAAAGGAGCTTCACTCGGCTTCCCTGTGCCTGGAGTCCTGGGGGGCTGAGGGAGCAAGGGAAGTCCGCAAGGAGCCAGTGAGCCCAGTTTGCTTTCTGGTCTTGGTGGTTGCTTGTGCTCCCCCTGCACACACTGCAGGACCTGGCTGTCTCAGGACAACTATACACCCTCGAGGATGAGCGCCCAGGAAATTCACCTGCTCCTGCGAGGGCACTTTGGGGTTCCATCTGGTTCCATCTGGGTCCCACAAAAGTTGGAGGCCCAGAGAGGCGTGGGGACTGGGAGCGGCTCACAGCTGTGTTACTGGAGGACTTTGCACCTGGCCCTCTTTAGCCTACTCTGTCCCCAACAAGAGTTTCCATGTACCTCTCTGTAACGATGTGTCTGGTGCATGTCCAAGGGGGCGGATGGTAATTTAGAACAGGAGTGAATGAACATGGAGGAGATGAAGATCCGAGGAGCACGACCTGTTGACCGAGTGGCTCGCCAGGTCCCGTTATTGTCATACAAGCCCTGGATGGTTTAGCCAGCACCAGTGGGCGTTCTCCCTGGGCTGGACATCACAGACTGAGGCAGATTTGTCTACAGATCTGAAAGGCAGGGTCAGAGTGGCCGGGGTTGTCAAGGCCACTGTCAGTATCATGGCTGGGAGCCCCAGGACCCCAGTGTGATGGAGCAGCCAGGTATGAAACCACAGCCCAGTGCGCTCTGGCTCTGCCCACAGCTGACCGTGACCTCAGTGGGCCCCCTCTCCCATCCAGCCTTATACTCCTTTCTTAGAAAACTGATGGGTCATCCCTGAGGCCCTTGCCCTGACCCCCGTGTCTAAGGAAACAGCGTCCTGCAATATGACACAGAGAAGGTGGACAGTACTGTATTGTTCCCAGGCCCGGCCCAGCAGAAGGGACAATAGGTTACCCCAGGGGCTGAGGACCAGACAGGTGGATGCGGAGACTCCTTGATTCGGCCCCAGACTTACAGTTACATGTTCTCAGTGGCCAGGAGCAAGCAGGAAGGCTGTGTCTCCTTTCCTAGTGTGGGTGCCAGGTCAGCGTGCAAAGACCCAGGGAGTCTCCCTCACCTGTGACCAGGCTTTGGCCACTGTTCTGTCCAAGTTAACAGCCAGGAGGACTTCCTGCTCCAGGGACCTGCAGGAGGCCTCCTGGAGCTCTCTGCTCCTCAAGCCGAGGCCAAGCTGCCTCCGAGAAGGGCAGAGGGGAGCCTCTCAGCGCAGGCTCCGGGACCCTTCCCGACTAAAAGGCTCTTGATTCTCTGACCCTAGATGGCTGCATGGACAGCTTGGGAGAAATGGGGGGGGGCTGTAGACTGGGAGGCTCCTTTGTGCCCCTCTTTGGAACAAGACTCAGGTGGCATTCACACTTACATAGGGAAGCCTGCTGCCAGTGCCGGCACAAGTCCCAGCCTGACATTTAGGACCTGGGCAGGCTTCCCCTGTGAACGCATGGGCACTGAGGACCCGGGCAGGCTGCCCCTGTGGACACACGGGCACTGAGGACCCGGGCAGGCT